GTCAGGAGCCAATTTCTAAGACACACTGTATCGCTAAACTACGGTAGCACTGCTGCCATGGTGTGTCTTATGAAAGTGCCGTGGTGGCATGGCGATGCAGGAATGTAGCAGCATTCATGCCGCCACACTTGTTAGTAATATTCTTGCAAAGCCTGACTTTTAAATGAGGTTTATGCCTTGGCACAACAGAGGGTGGCATCATGATCATGTGCGGAATTACCGCCGAGCTCCGGCCAACCACGATACTGAAATTGAAAGTAACACAGGCATATGTTTTCCTTTTGTTAACAGAAGCAGGTGAGACAGGAAACTGGAGTGATGCAGAGCTCTGGGAGCTTCTCTCTGTTAGAGCTGGAGCGCAGATCAGCAGACAGCTCACGGGGCCTGTGGAGGGCAGATTCTTTTAAAGCCTGATTTATACTTCTCCGTCTGCGTCGGTGCAGAGACACGCAATGCTATTATGCGTTGGCGCAAGAGTTCTTCGACGGGCTCGCATAGGGTAACGTAAAAAGATATCTAACAGCAGACATGGAACAAATTGAAGAATGCATTGCAAGAAAAGTATGAAAATATAAACATGTGTTCACCCGTGACTAAAAGAGTACAAAAATATGCAGTGAGAGTTTAGTCAATGAAAAAGATAAGAAACATGGGTTTAGAGATGCCGATCGCATGAAGAGGTGGATGGGGGGCAAATATATTCATGTTCAAAAGTCTCTGAAATACGTTAACAATGTAAATACAATCGTAAATACGCTATTGTGGACCAGATACTAGGGTTGCCAAGAGTAACTGGTTTGACTTTTAACCACGGTGTGCTGCGGTTAACCCACCGTAAAGAGGTCACAAACGCCATAAAAACAAAAAAACAACAAAAAAAATAGATTTGTGGACCAAAGTGAAACAAAAAATTAATGAATGCATGCAGCAGAACCAGCGTCAACAATGACCGGGACTTTGTTTCCAACGAAGAAGTGCTTCAAGTCTCCTGTGAGGGAATATTTTAGACTACCAAAGCTGCTAAAAGAGAACTTCAGAACAATGTCTCATCCATCTGCAGAGATGGCAGAAAAATAAGTTTTGACACTTGTCCTACTTGTCCTAATCTCTGAGATCATCCCACAGACATTCATTATGGCTCCAACTGAGTCAGATTAAATTAGTGACTGAACGGATTTAGCAATAATATTAGAACAATCCAGTAAATCTGGCATCCTTGAGCCTGCAAGGCTCCAACGAAAACTCCCCCCCAGAAGATATGTGGAAAGTCCCGTCGCTATGGCAAATCAACTCTGTCTCCTTTCCCAGCCTGGGCGGGACTGCGGGAAGGCCGCTGAAGCGTCCAAGGTCACTGCAACCCTCCACCCCTCAATGCTCCTCCCCCTATCCACACTGAGGTGACATGCGCTGCTTATCGTGGCTGCAGGAACTTAAGTGGGGATAGTCCCAACCCACCACGTGGACACTTATGTTGTGTTGTCTGAAGTCTGTTGCATAACTGTCTGAGGTGTTTTTTGCAGAGCAAAGCTGCCCTCCTGTGGCAGGGTAACTCTGAAGTGCCTTTTTTCCCCCTCTACCTGAACCAATCCTCATGTAACCCTCTTATCTCTATTAAGGTAGCGCGACTCAGGGTTGCGAATGACCACAGTCACCAATTCTTGTCATGTGTCTTGCCCATGTATGTCTGATCTCTGAATTGTGTGTACTGAAACTCTAATTTCCCTCTGGGATTAATAAAGTATTGATTGATTGAACGACGGTTCATATTGTGTTGTTCTACGTTTCCCCCGTATCGGTCCACAACAAGCCTGTACGGCAGGTCGGGATGGGTACCGAATTCGATACTTTTTAAGGTACAGGCCAAATTCCATTGTACCAACTGAATGGTGCCTTGTTTCACTGCCTGTGCCACGCACCGGCGCTGTCACTGTGGGCGAGCTGTAAACAAAGCAGCATGGTTCTGAAGTCTGGGTCCACTTCACTAAATGGGATGGGTAACTGGGTGATGATTAAACCAGCAACAACGATCTAATAGAGGCATCATCACCTTAATCTGCTCCTGTAGGTAAATAAAATGCTTATGGTAACATTATATCGATAGTTGAGCTTTTGTTTATGTAGCTAATGGTGAGTTCAATTTCTCCTCAGAATTTTCAACTTCCGAGTAGAAAAAATAAACGATTTGAAAATGAACAGCAAAAGGAATGAAGATACACCCGGGTTTCCCTTACATAGGCGTAGCCGTGGCGGGCCGCCACGGCTGAAATCCCACCGCCACGCTTACAAGATCCCAAGTTATTTATTTATTTATTTAGCGCTGTTTCCCGAAGAAGCAGCGGGAACTACTATGTTGTCGCTTGCGATCACAGCCGGCAGGCAGCAAGGAGGAGCAGGCAGGGCAAGGTGAAGTTACAGCATAAGTTACTGAGTTTAAAATTAGAAAGTTAGCAGTGGATATAATGCTTTTTGGTTTACATGTTTCAATAGCATTAAGATAAACGAGTGTTGACGATCTTGACAGGGTTTCGTCCCCCCGCCAGGCTAAGCATAACTTATTCATGTAATATTTATTTATTTTTTCATGTCTGACTTTAACTGCATCTAATACTGTATTACGGCGTGAGCGCAACAGCGACAACTTAAGATAGATGTGTGAGCAGCCTGAGAGGTCGGGTGTTTCATCTGAACCCTTAAAACCTCCAGCAGGCTACGCTGCACTATTGGCGTGTTAGTGCGCGGCGCTAACAACTTAGCGACGTGACATGTCTCGGAGAAAGCGTAAAAACACGTTGGACGCTTCTTCTGAGGTGGGAAAATAACACTTCTTCTTAAGCAGAGCACGACGTCGCCTCAACTCGTTCACGGCCGAGCCGGTACCGGACTGGGCTCGATAACATTGACCCAGCACAGCCACTGGGGCGTTGGAGCTGCCCCGTGCCTGATGGAAAACCAGCGGGTTTCATCAGACTCGTAAAGTTTCTTGTTTTTGCTGGGGACCCCCTGTATTTTACCGCTCCCTCCTGCAGTCTTCCCCTATTAAAATTTAAAATGATTCTGTAAATTCCGTGTATCAATAGAAACAATCTCTGCCTCTGCCAGCTGCAGTAAATGTAGTCTCCAAATAATAAATAAGAGGTGCATTTATCTGTGTATCTCCTTCGATCCACATTAGTGATATTTTCAGCACCAGAACAGTGAAGCAAAGAAACACATTCCTGAGTTTGTTAGTAATTTTATTTATTAGGTGCATCTAACCTGTTCAATTTTTCTCTGAAATGAGATCAAATCAGTGGTTTGTCTCCACTCTGCACTAGAAAATCTTACTTTGTTTAGAGACGTGTCAAAAACGTGTCACTTCTGATTACCTTCAATGGTGTCTGTTTGTTGCAACCACCAGGTACAAAAACTAACTTGTTTTTATTTGACTATTTTTCTGTCCTGCCTGTTTATTATCTTCCTGCATCTCCTCTCAATCCTAAAGAAAAACTGCTACCTGGGTTCATATATATTCACCTTATGAGTTACCTTTGAACTGCAGTTCTAAAAGATCTACCGACCGCAAAAACAGCGGAGTGTGCGCTGCTTGCCGGCCACATCAGTTAGGTGCATCACCGAGGACAAAACAGGTGACGCGCCCCGATCCACAGCAGCGAAACGCATCAGGCACAAATAAAAGAATAAAAAAAAAAAAACATGAAAGGAAATGAGCCGACATGAACGGTCGCGTGTTAAATTAGTTTTTGAGGTGGCGACACCTGATTTGATAATGTTACTGTGGCCGTGCTCAGGACGCAGATGTCTGGAGCACGTCAACAAACAGAGCTTTGCATGCGCAAGCTGTTTAAGGTTAGGATGGGGGTGAGGGGAAGGTTAAATTGCAAGAGGGTAAACGTCACAATTTGGTTAAATGTCCGTTTTACGGCGGGTGTCGGTACCGACGCTCTGGCACAGCGCGTTGCCCCCCCGACGCGCAGGAGCTTGTCACCTGCTGACAGCAGGCTGCTGTCTTTTCCGTGGACTACATCTTGCCGGTCATTATCACGTGACAGCGACTAGTCGATGACAGGCATAAAAAGTCACTACAGTGAAGTCGTCTAGTAACTAGTTCATACAACCCCTGCTACTGCTCCCCAGAGTGTTCTGCAGCATAATCAGCACGTTCTCTTTGAACTTGATATCAAATTTTCGCCTCCTCTTCGTCTCCGCACGGTTAAAGTTACCCTCGCGGTCTATCACTGGCAAATCAAAAGTGAGACGATGACACAACCGCCCCCGTACTTGCTTGTTACCACATTCCACCCGGCCACAATAAGAGACCGGCCATTATTCACCTCCGCCGACTCAGACACCGGCCAAAATATGATACCCGGCAGTTAATTAAATACAGGCTAATATTAGAGGATTTACGGTATATATTTAATGAAAAAAGTGATTTAAAGGATCATTAAACACGCAATAGTATCAAAAATTGGTACCGATATGTACCGGTATCGATTCGTAGGTACCGGGAATTGGTACCGTATCGATTCAAATGTCAAAGGTATCAATCCGTAACGGCAAGCCATTTTAATATTTAATCGAAAAACCTCTGTAATTTCTGTTCTATCATTTATCCTAGTCCAAATAATAGTCTTACTGATGAAATTTGAAAAGATATGAACAAGTACAAATTGCATTTAAGTAATAATATTCATAACAACTGCACTAGTAGGAATTTAACATCCTAACTCATTAAAGGCACAGTCTGCAACAGTTAAATGTAGAATAACTTTAAAAATGTTTGATTTTGACCATCTGACCCAATTTTATTAAAAAAAGTAAATAATCTTTAATATTTCAATTTTCTCCTAAGTCCCTCCCCTGCCCTGTAGAGCTCAGCCAATATTTCTGCAAGCCTAACGCGTTGATCAATAGCGCTGCATTTCCACCAGGGGGCAGCTGTCAATCATCGAGCACGAGCAGGTCTCAGCGCACAACAGTGTCACGCGCCTCACTCAGCTTACTGCAGAAACATGGAGCAACAAAACCCCAAATTACCGATTCCTCGAATGCCTTCCACATCTCAAAAAACATTTAAAAAGTTTAAAAGCCCTTCTTCAAAAGTGGCTGTAAGACGTTTGAGACAGTCGAGTAGAATTTACATTGGAGACTGTTTTACACACGATGGAGAGATTTTCGTGATCTACACGGCCTGAAAATGGATGAAGAGTTGGCAAAGTATCTTTTAGACAGGTAAGTTATTTATTGTTTTTCGGATAAATTTACTTATAATCTTTCGTTCACTGAAAGAAGTAATAGAGCAAACAAGCTTTGTATGCTTGGTGTCCTAAGCTAATGTAGCATTAGCTTGAATGCTAAGTCGACATGAATCGATGCTAGTCAAACTATTTATGCTATATTTGGAAGAAGTTTCAGTAACGAAAGGGGATTTTAGTTTTTTGTTTATATGGGAGCTAATGATTAGTGTGGCATTTAACTATAGGCCACATCAGTATATTGTTTTAAGCTCTTGTTTATAACTTCCCCGTTAGCAGGGTTCAGTTAGCATCTTGAAAGCTGAATTAGGTGTTTACACTTTCCTGAGCTGCGTGTTTGATTAAAATGAGTAATCAGCAGCTCATGTAGCACTTGTAGAAGTCTGAGGAGATGATTCAGCAGTTAGAATTAGGTGTGATTGATCAGGAACGTATCCAAAACCTTACGTTTCCATTAGCACCGAAAGACATATTGTGCTAACCTGGGTGGGCCACGTGTACAGATTACCGTCTGAGTTTATGGTCTTACCTACGTGAAAACTCCATATTAAAATAAAAGGAATGATAATCAGCTCATGCAAAAATCTGTGAAGGCTGGGGGAGACTTGTTTAGCTTGTGATCACTAATTTTTGGGCTTTGTTTTTTACAGTCATCAGTCCAAATATGAAGCATCAACATCTACACCATTGAAGCGCCAACTGTGTATTTCTCCAACACCAGTGCCAGCTCTGTCTAGCATTCATGGAGAATCATCTGAAAGGTAAATAGCTGCGTAAAAACCTACCAGGAATATTATAATTTTGCCTCTGTTTGTTTTAAGTTAGTGGTGGATTATTTTGAAAAAATTCTAGAAATGGGATAATGAATGACTATAAAAAATGTATAGAAATAAATAGTAAAACTACATTTTATATAGCGCCTCTCAAGATAAAACTCTTGAGGCACTTCACAACAACAAAATCAAACATATTTTAAAAAATTATATTTTTATTTCAAAGTTTATGAGAAAAAAATAACACAATTGTGTTTTTAAAATGTAAAGAGAGAGACAGGAAATTATTTGTAAAGAAGGAATTCAGTGGATACAGAGAAATGCGTAATAAGTAGAGTGAGAAAAATAAGGAGAGGGTGATGATGACGGCCAATAGACAAGGTCTATTACCTTCAAAATGACAAAATATGTATTGATTCTAATCATATTCTTGTGCTTGTATTTTATTTTCATAGGGATGATAATTTGGAGGAGGTGATGGAACAAGGTGAAACTAAAAAAGAAGGATCTTCACAAATGTAAGTACAAGGTTGTATCTGTATTTGGCTGTCACATTTGTCAGGAAAAGTAAACAATAATTACTTTTTTAGGTTATCTTGTGTGGGAATTGAAGCAAACATTGACGAGGAAGAGTTCAACAATATTCAAAACTCTGTGTAAGTATTCAGATGTTAATAAAATGTGTCAAATTTTCCATGCTAAAAACTTTATATTGTGTATATTCAGGATAGAGTCATCAGATGACACATGGTCACCAAACAGAGAAACAGAAGTTGATTCGTCTTCAGAGGAGGACGAAACCATCGAGATGGACAGCGGTACTGATGACAGCGGTGATGAGGACTACACACCTTATATACACATAAGGTAATTCTTTTCGTTTAACATTCTATAAAACTGCAATAGCGCATAGTTAATAAAAAGCTTTTGTTCACAGGACTGGAGCAGCATTACAAAAAACATTACAACTTGAGACTCTGCAAGAAATTAACATAGAGGATACAGTTCATGACTGTAGTATCCCAGAAGCAACTGACCGACGTTTGACAAGCAAGAAAGGTCTTCCTCAACGCTACAAGCTAAGGCCTGAGGATCCAAGGTGTTATGGTTTGCTGTCCGGAGTTCCTGCACCATCAACAGAGGAACTTCTACAACACCTACGGACTTGCGGTGATGGTAAAATAAAACATTATGTGCCTTACATCTTCCACACAATAGTCCATTGCTAATTGAGTTTATTTTTTATTTACAGGTAAAACTTTGCCACAGACATAGGTGTTGGGGGAGGCAAGAGAAAACCCAAAACCTTCTTTATTTTTGTTTCCTGTGTTTTTTTTTTGTTTTTTTTTTAATAAAGATATATTTTGGGGAAATAAGGACTAATAATTTAAAAATGTATGTAAAATGTTGGAGGTAGACATAATTTTTTGTTGTTGTGCAGGAGTTTTAAAATGTATGGTATTTTTACAAATGCATCACAGAGTTGTGCTTTAGAACACTTTATTAGACCATCAAACAAAAATATATAAAAACAAACTTATGTAAGATATCGAATATATACATTTATTTACAATCGTCTTGGAATAAAACCAGTGTAGTTACCATTGGGGTCAGGGAATTTTGCAGAATAAACTCCTCCATGTGTGGTACAGTTGAAATACATGTCTGGGGAGGCTGTTGGCAGCATTTCTTTTCCAAATCAGTTGGCATATCTCTGCAGTGGGAGCATACACACCATGAAGGTTGATTGGGTGTTGGAGGTGTTGTGGCAGGTGGATCAGAGGGCAAGTACATCAAAGAGAACACCAGTGTCTGTCCAGCACCATGGTAAGGATGTCAATAGTCTGCTGAGGATTCAGGTTCTGTATGTGTTGCTACAAAAGTGGAAAGAGATGCTACAGCAACAGTTATGCTTACACATTCAAAGTCTATTAGCTCGGAACGAAGATTCTGAACTCGAGAGAGATCTTCATCTCCAAGGTCCACAGCTGAGTGTCTCACACTTCTTCGGCCTCTGGATGCACCGCGGCCTCTAGACACACCACGACCTCTGGATGCACCACGGCTTTGAGATGATGGTGGGCATCTCCTTTTTGCACCACGTCTTGAGGATGCAATAGGAGGTTCAAACTCTTCCTCAGAGGATTCCTCAATCACTGAACTCTAAATTGTATTAGAATAAAAAAAATTATACTAATATAAAAAGTACTCTTGCATATTAATCAATTTTGACACAGATCAGGTTTACATCTAGTCAAAATTTGGGCTAAACAAACAATAAACAGAAACTATGAAAACAACCATGATTATAGGAGGACTACACAGAATGCAGTGTTTATTCATGATTTCCACATAAATTATTTATATGCTTTGATATATTCATCCCATCTTGAATGGCGAAGCAATTAAAAATAAGCTAGTTACTTGTAATAAAATGCTAACAATTTGATAGGATTAATTTTATTTACAACTGTTGCCAACTGTTACTGGTATTTTAAAATATAAATATATTTATAGATATTCTTTATAAAATGCCTTTTGTAAACAGTAAGTGTTTAATGTGCTGGTTAATTACAACTTTCTTACCTCAGATAACTCCATTGCTAACACTAGCTCAGCTCTATTACAAGAAGCAATGCTCCGATGTTGACTCTGCTTTTCCTGCGCGTGCACATTGGGAGGTGTGGCTTTCGGCTCTTTCAGGAAGGGTGGGGGAGTGAGCAACAGCCGTTCCAATTTAAAAATCTCCTCCTCCTCACCCTGACGGCGTCATCCTGCGGACTGTGCCTTTAAGGTGTCTCCATCCTTCAGTGCACTTACTGTGTCCATAAAACAAGTCTGCGCCTGCTTCAGGGTAACATTGTTGATCATGCCATAAAAGGGTCAACATTTGGGCATTCAGCTTTTCAGGGTAGATGTTTAATGTTGTAACCATAGACTGTACATACTGGACAAAACGATTCCATAGGCTCCAATAACACGTTTTTTGTCTATAATGGGAGGTGGCCACCACCGCCATTTTGACCGTGTCACAGGTTCCATCCAGCCCAGACAATTCCATAAAAGGGAAGAGAGGAGGAGCTGAGGGTGGGGCTGTAAGGCTGGGATCGAGTGACGACACCCAGGCGAACTAGCTACGAGCTAACCTGAAGCTAACCCTGGCTAACCCAAAGCTAAAGCGGAGGTGGGAGCCGAGCTAACGGATGTAGCCACCTAGCTTCAACCCAACCGGAGCTAACTGGAACACCTATCGACCTGAACCTCACACGGAGTTTAGGTGGAGGTTTTCGGCGCCTGTTCGTGAAAAGTACCTGGATTAAAAAAGTATTAAATCGGTAAGTTTATAATTTATTTCCGTAATGAAAACATTTTGCTTTGAGCAAGTTTTCAGTACCGTGTTTTCCGGGCTATCGCCCATGAGTCGCACCAGCCATTAAATGTATAATGAAGAAGAGAAAATATATTTAAGTCGTATTTTGGGGGGACATTTTATTATTTTTCTTACAAAATCTGAGACCAAGCGTTTCACATTGCAAGACAAGCACCGGTAACCATAACAGAATGAACAACCGCGTGCCACGGGTCGGAGTCGGCCCGCAGCAGCGCGGTGTAGCCTACATATTTTGTTATATAAGTCGCCCCGGAGTATAAGTAGCAGGACCAGCCAGATTATGTAAAATAGTGCGAGTTATAGTCTGGAAAATACGGCAGTTATTAGTATTCGAGCTAAATTAGCAGCCTAAATACATTTCATATATTTCCAAAACGTAATACTTGTTTGTATCTTGTACAGCCAACTAGCCTTTATTCTGGATTCAGTACAATTCAAAAGTAAAGAGACATTATACAGATGAAGTAAGCACAAGATAACTTACTGGAAGACACGGAATTATCATGAGAACCAGAACAAGAGAGCCTGATAACAGTCATGTGAAAATAACAGTTAAAAAGTATGTATGTGTAATAGAAATAAAAATATATTAGAATTAGTGTAACTCACTGTGTTCCAAACAATAAATCAGCCATAGCTGATTAGTAAATATGACATGAGGTCTGGGAGTTTTTAAGTTTCATTCTTTTATTACATTTTTTTCTTAGATCTGTTTAAAGGTCACCATGGCAGCCTGTGTCTCCAACATCAGCTACACAATGCAGCAAGTGTAAGTTCCAAATACCTGTCTTGACCACTTCATGTATGGTTTTGTACTTTAAACAATTATGACAAACCTGTTATTTTTTCTCCATAGCCATTTGGATCATTGGAGACAGCTACGTGAGGCGTGGTGCCCAGAGAGCTGCAGAGACCCTCGGAGACAACCTTGGCCTCCCTGACATCTGTGTCTCCTGGTTTGGTTGGGGCGGACCATCGACATACATACATGTGCCGACACTTTGCGCCCTGTTTTATAAAATGTAGTGTTAAAAATACATGTTTTTGCTCAATTACTGGAATTTCTTTGGTTAAGATAAAAAAGTGAGGAATAATCATTTACAAGTTATTTGTACAACAGGAACATTTTAAATCCCAACAGTTTCTTAGCAGCCAATAGAAATGTGTTCTTTACTAACTTTACTTGGTTTAAAAATCTTACTAAAATAAACAGAGTGCTGTATTTCAAAACCCAATCATACTTGTTATGTAAACATTAGCTTTGTAGATATTTCTTACAGATCTATATTTGTGTGCAACAAAAACCAAACTTAAATAATTTGTCATTCTTTATTGAAAAACAATAAAATACAGTTATACAGAAAGTGTGGGAAAATGATAATGTGAAAGTATTGCTCTTTAAATGAAGAAAAGAAAAACTCTAAAAATGTTCTGTACAGCAACATGACAGAAAAATGGTGGTCTGTCTGTCAGAATGTGCTGAACAGATTTGCTCTGTCAAGAGGAGCCTTAATGTGTACGAGATTCCCCTTGAGTAATATTGGTTTGGGTTATGTATCGCCACATCAGCATGTAAATGCTGAACCAATCTGGAATAAAGACTGCTGATAGAGGATAAACAAGTAAATAAGAGGAAAAATTAATACAACTAGGAAACCAACATAAAAAACAGCAACCAGCAGCTGCACATGTGAAGAAACATTTCTAAGAGTCATCAAGAAAACATGGGATGAACAACTATAAACATGTAAAGCATGAACCACAAACATGAACAACAAACATCGACAAGCATGTGTTCGTGCGTGTGCTGGGATGTGAAGTGTTAGACTGGATCAGGTGCACTCTGGAACCGCCGCAAGCGCCCGAAAACCTTGCTACAGAGAACTCAGCTATGCCACATCCAGAACCGGGCTGACACAGGTCATGGGCCACATGGCACAGGAATCACACAGCATTTCCACCTGAAACAGAATCATTAAAATTAGAATCAAATAAAACAGTTGTTCAGTATGACATCAAAAGGATTTTTAAAGAAGGCAATTGGACTTCTTTGGTTTCATGAATATAGGAGGGTTGATCTTAAGCCTGATTCATGCTTCTCCTGTGTCAGTGCGGAGACAAGCAACTCCATTATCCGTCCTTGCGTAGGGCCCCAGCAGGCACGCAAGTACGCACGGAGTCGAGCCCACTTTTTTAAACATCTGTTTAACGAGATGGACAGCGCAAGCTTGTGATTGGTCAGGATGCCGTTGTCGTCTACAGCGCCGCCATTGCTCACTCAAAAACAAAGAGCCGAGGATAACTAGCAACAGACACGGAGAAACTTGAAGAACACCTCGCAAAAAAACTCTAAAAACATGAACGTTTTTATTCCCCGTGACTGGAGGAGTGAAACGATCCACAGCAAGCGTTTTATTTGTAGACGGAAATGACAGGAATCATGGGTTTAGAGGTGGCGAGCCCTTGAAGAGGTGTAGGAGAATGAGACAAATTTGTCTGTTCAAAAGTGTTATGTACAAAAATCACAATATCATCACACTATTTTGGACCGATACATGACAGGATACCACAGAACAGCTCTCCGCCCTCTGCTGTCCGGTCCGGTAATTGCTTTGCAACACTCCCCAGGAGACGGAGAAGTATGAGAGCTAAACGTCTCCGTCCGTGCGTGCGTGTCTCTCCCTGTTGGAGCTGACAGAGAAGCCTGAATCAGGCTTTATTGTAGCTGTCAATTGTTGCTTGATAAGCAGAAACTGTCACCTTCAAAACACCTCCTCTGCACAGGTGTTTCTTTGTAATTAGGAACAGGAATAAAGTTATAGAGGTCAGCAGGTAAAAGATCAGCTTAAATTAATTTCACCATTAGAACAAAGGATGTTGTGTAGGCGTGAGATCACCAAAGATGATAGGGTCTTTTAAATCTTACTTTCAGATAAGCTGATGAAGTTCAG